TATCCCAACACCTCCAACAGCACTCGTGTGTACGGGAAAGGAAGCGGTGGAAGTGCAGAGCACAGCACACACCCCTCAGCAAACAGCCCTGACAGCACTTACAGCCAATGTTCAGACTTCAGTTCAAAACAGAATTTTTCTCAGTGGTTATTTCCTGTCATTAATATCAATAACTGAAAGCAAAAAAAGAGATGACACCGAGCTCTTTCCTACTAATAACTCCAAAGCGGACTGGACAGTGCTGCTGTGTTACTGCAGGTTATTTGTTGTCCAACTGCCAAAAAACAAAAACCTGATCAGAGTGAAATTCAAACTTCTTATCTTTGGTAAAACGCCCGTCACAGATTGAAAATGTTCACATTCTTAAGGTCAGGCGAGATTGGGAGTTATAGATCGGCTATTCAAAAAAATAATAACATAAGCCCACAACATCCAAGGCAGGAAAAGGGCAGCCTGTGGGCCAAAAACAAGCTAACAATGGGAAAGAGAAAAATGGCAAGGAGCCAGTTTTCTCTCATTTATAGAAAAGAGAAAAAAAAGAAAAACTGAGGGAGGGGTTGAGGGTTAAAAACTTTAGAGCCGAAATAAACAAGTGTGACACATAAATTTATCATTAAGGCTTTTAAGTGTGGCTGCTTTGAGTGGAAAGGTGAGTGCTGACTGGGCTTCATCTCATCTAATCCAAGCCAATGAACTGGACCTCCACTGTATTTATATTGGAGGTTTCTGTGGGAACATTTTTAAATGTCATTTGCAGAGAAATAAGCTTGCTGTGCAGTTAGTTGTTACTTGGTTAGTTAAATATGTGTAAGAAGATGGCTTCAAAAGCACGCTACGTCAAAGGCTGAGGCCACAATGGCTGTGCCCGTTCTTTTATACGAGTCTGCACTTCAACTACAGCCCCTTTTACTGCTTTAAACGCTTTACGTTTGACGGTGTCTAAAAAAACCAAGAGAAAGCAACAGGCCAGAGCTGTCCAAAAACATAAGTGCCTCAGTGCTTTAATGCCTGCTGAGTGGTCACAATCAAGTGTCCTTGAGCAAGAAAGACACCCCTATTTGGCACTCCTGCCAGCCTCTTTAAAAATCACCGCAAGTCCCGGGAGGCAGCGTGGACAACACACGAGCCAGTCAGCCTCATCTTCACTTAAACTGTCACTGCTTTATAGATTTGTCTTTTTACGGGGAGGATGAGGCGCTCCCTTCATTTGGAATGGTTTTTATTTCATCGCCATGATGACTCCCTCTCCCTCATCAAAGTGGAAAAACCGAAGCCGTTCCGTCAAGCGTATTACCTCCCTCTTCCGCACTCATCCAATGAGTCCGTCACTGGGAACAGCAGCGGAAGGATTATTTCCAAAATGTCTCTTTCTGGATTCCAGTCTCCATTCATCAAGCTTCGACTTTGTATACTGGAAAAAGGAAAAAAAACAACAACACTGCTGCTGCTTCTTTGTTTGTCTTTTTTACATTTTCCTGTTTCTGCTCAGTCTGAAATATGTTTCCCTTCTTGGTTCTTCTCTGGCTTGTACTTAAACTGATTAATTTAGGGACATTTCTGCCTCTCATGCAAACTGGCATACTTTGATGAACCAGGGAAAACACAAATGATATAAAAGAAAACCCACGGGTGTGTACTGGGTAATGGTGTGCGTGCGACACTGTGCCCAGCTCTGCAGCGCTGTGACATTTACTGATAAGGATTGAGTGATGAGAGGCTCTGCATTTTTCTTTCTCACTCACGTCTGGTTCTGCGTGAGGAATTAAGGGGAAAACTGCATGCGTATTCCCTCACCTCTTATTACACTGCCCAGCCATCTTGGCCGGTGACCTCAGCCTGTTGCAGATCTCAGGAACGTGTCGTGGTGATCTAAGTGATAACGGGGCAACGGGCCAAGCGAGGTAAACCTGACTCGTCTTTCAGCAGTCCACACATCCTTATCTGTCAGCCGACACGCAGATATGCAAGATGTGCAAAGTGATTGCAGCAGTGAGTCTTCCTATGAGTGCAGTCTGAGGCCCTGAAATCAGAGGCTGGCAGGTTTTGTTTGTTTAAAGCGAGTCACATTAGAAACTTTAGTCAGATCTAGTCTCGAGTGAAAACATCAGTCAGTGCTTTTTGCAAGAAGACTGAAGAAAATGAGAGCTTTAGTACAAAAATGTGACACCTCATTCATTACTTGACCTAGAGTCGTACCATGATTACGTTACCCACGTTCTATTTAAAAAATAAATAAAAATAAATAAATGTCATTTTGAGACAAAGGGCGTTGAATCTCGCATTATCGTCGCTTCCTCTCCCATCAAATCCTGCTTAAAGCTCTTTTTTTCGCCGCAGCCCCTCTGGGTTTGGATCAGGATTTGGCTCCCAGCATCAAAACCAAAACCCTAACAGATGCCGGCACAGACCGCGCTGCCATCGAGGCAGCGACACGGGCCCTGACACAACTGTCGGCGGCCTGCTGGCTAATCTAATTTCCCCACCAAGTGGTCTCCCAGCTCGGAGAAGGGAACCAATTGACGGATACAAGTCCCCAAAAACATATTAATGGCATTGGAACTGTAAGGACAGAGGAGCGTTTTAATGATCGAGGAGTTTGAAGGAGGTGAAAATAATGGGGCGAAAAAGCATTTGAGGCATTCGATGCATGGCTGTGTCAGCGTCTGATGAAATTAAAGCTACAAAATAAGGTTTGATATATTCTCAGGCGGCGTCAGCGACAGGCCGTGTTTACTACAAGAAAAGTGGTTTTTATACCTCTGGAGGAGGTCTTAACCTCGAAAGAAGCCAGAAGCTAAAGTAAAGCCCAGACAGGCATTGAAGAGTAGATGGCAGATATGGTCAATCTGCAGTTAAAACAAAAATCAATGGGCTCATAATTTCTTGATCGCTGCTCGTCTGCCCGGTGCACATCTTTCTTAACTGCTCCGCAGCACGGTAAATATTCCAGCTACGACTTCCATGCCCTCAACAAGAACTAATCCTTGTCCCACTGGGCTACCCATGTACTCATACCAAGGCTCTACATCATCATCAACTTCTGCCAGACAATTTGGGCGGATGGGTGGGTGTCTGTGTGTGTTGGGGTGGGGGGTGATCTAGGCATCCATTCCACATCGACAGCTGTTTACGGCGGAGAGAAGGCAAGAGGCATGAGCGCTCCTGCCTAAATGTTTATGATGATAATCATCTGTAGGGCATAAGAAAAGGCGTCGCCATGGCAACTGCTGCCCCAAAACAAAGGGAAAGAGACGAGGCAGAGAGACGATAAACAGACCCCTGTTATTGAAATGGTGCATTCCTGTGAGGATAACAGAAAACACACAGAATAGATAGGATCCACAGTGTGTGTGTGTGTGTGTGTGTGTGTGTGTGTGTGTTGGAGGATGACTTGGGAGATTTTGCAAAATAGAGAAAGCTGAAAACACAGACTTGAGGAGGGGGAGG